CGTGGTCCCCTGACCAGTGGAGAAAGTGTTCACACCAGAAACTCAGACGGTACTCTGCCTCTTGCATCCTCTCTCAGAGGCAGGGGGCACAGAGCGTTTGGGCCACAGTGGTAGTTCGTTCCTGTGTGTACTACTTGAGGGACCACTTTCCTGTGCCACAAACTACTGTCTTGTCTGCATGTTCTAATGCGCGGCTTTGCCCCTCATGACTAGAGTATTGAAGCCTGGACATTACAAAATTGCTTCTGACTGTGGAACGAGGGAGTAGAGTTTGTTTTCTTGCAGTGATTTTCAAATGGGAGACCCTGGGTCTCGTATGTCCGGCATGTGTGACTGCCACGATTTCTTCCCTTTGAGTTTCAGGAGACTTGGTAACGTTGACTTCTCAGGTTTCAAGAAATTTAGCAAATTTCAAGGCTCCTGTTTTTGTTGTTGTTTGGAAACACCTTGCTTATAAGAATCAAGGAAAGGAAATAGATTTGTTTCGGTCTTTGATTTTAACTTGCCTTCGAGAATGAAAACTAAGCAGACTTATGTGGCAAAGGTAGGAGATTGAAAGGTCATTGGCATCAGCCACTGTTCTCCAAGTGCCCCAGACAAAATTCCCGTTTGTTTGTCTGCCCTGAAATAAGACGGTGTATCATCAGGCTTTTCTTCCAGTTACTTTTCAGCTTAGCAGAGTATACATTTAGGGGCCTCATTTTTTGTAGAGAGACAGAAAACTATTATTTATTTTACTAAAAATGTTCTAAGTTCCTCTTCTTCCCCACTGTGGACTAATTATCTCATGATACACTGGGATTATGTATATGTGATCCAAGGAAGGTGTGTAAACAGACAATTTGACATGACCTGTATTTCCTTACAAATAGTTTGTAGCTTCAGGCTTGTGTACTTACAGTTGTGACTCTCCCCCTTTTGCCTTTTCTTTTCTTTTTAAAGATTTTATTTATTTCTAGGAGAGAGAGAGAGAGAGACAGCATGAGCAGGGGAGGGTCAGAGAGAGAGGGAGTCACAGACTGAAACAGGCTCCAGGCTCTGAGCTGGCAGTCAGCACAGAGCCCAACGCGGGGCTCAAACCCAAGAACCACGAGATCATGACCTAAGCGAAAGTCGGAAGCTTAACCGACTAAGCCACCCAGGCGCCCCAGCCCCTTTTGCCTTTTCAACATGAAACACGTAGAATCACTTGTTTGCCATTTTTAAAAAAAATGTTTATTTCTTTCTTTTGAGGAAGAGAAGTAAGGGTGAGATTGAGTGGGCAGACAGAGAGGGAGAGAGAATCCCAAGCTGGCTCCATGCTGTCATCTCAGAGTCCAGTGTGTGTGACTTGACCTCAAAAACCATGAGATCGTGACATCAGCTGAACCCAAGAGTCGGTTACTTAACCAACTGAGCCACCCGGGAGCACCCTTGTTTGCCATTTAAAATAAGCAAATTCTTGCTTTATTTGGATCCAATGAAAATATTAGTGCAATTACAGAAGATTTATACTTGGCAGGCAATGGGGAACAGGTGGACTACTCTCCTGCTGCATTCTCAGCTGTGGGATACTTTTCTTCAGTTAAACTTAGTGACTTCCACCCTATTAGCCTTCATCGTTCTCTGTGCCTCACACGTCATGCTTCACATCATATTGTCTCTTGTGTATATACCATTCAGGGTTTCAGAAGGTTCATGATCTCAACCCAAATTTCTTTATTTCTTTGTTTTTTTTTTTCCTAAATTTATTTCTGAGAGAGAGACACACAGAATCTGAAGCAGGTTCTCGGCTCTGAGCTAGCTGTCAGCACAGAGCCCGACGCGGGGCTCAAACCCACAAACCGTGAGATCATGACCTGAGCCGAAGTCGGACACTTAACTGACTGAGCCACCCAGGTGCCCCGCTCAGCCCAAATTTCTAACCAGTATGGATCCACGTTAAGTTTGTCTTCTTTCTTGGATGTGCTCCCAAAAGCAGTGTACTCTTCATTTTCCTATTTAGTGGACATGGAGATCTATTTATTTCAGTACTTTTCTGTCACGAATCATTTTTACTTGAGGGATAGAGTGATGGCTGTGTCTGGGGTTTTCATTTCTATTGTACTTTGGATGCGTAAACGTTTTATAAGATCAGAAAGTCTAGGATTTTTTGTTTGCTTGCTTTGAACTGAACATTATTCTCTGTCACGCCCCATGAGCTTGCTGGGACCTTGATCTTTATTGACTCTGCCATCTCAGAAAATAAGGAAAATAGGTAAAACCAAAAAGAATAATTGGAAAAAGCTCCTGTGAGGCAAAGCTGTCACATTGGCAGAATGATTCAGCAGTTGCAGGGAGTGTTATTGATTGTGAATCCTTTGTGAATTTTTTTTTTTAATGTTTTATTTATTTCTAGGAGAGAGAGAGAGACAGCTTGAGCAGGGGAGGGTCAGAGAGAGAGGGAGACACAGACTGAAACAGGCTCCAGACTCTGAGCTGGCCGTCAGCACAGAGCCCGACGCGGGGCTCGAACCCACAAACCGCGAGATCATGACCTAAGCGAAAGTCGGACGTTTAACCGACTAAGCCACCCAGGCGCCCCAACCGTTCCTTTCTTTAAAAAAAAAAAATTAGCTTACTGTATGGCACTAACTTAATCACAACCACCTCCATTCAAAAATGCATACAACCAAAAAAAAAAAAAATGCATACAACCTGGTGCTCGCTTTGACGGCACGTANGAACCGCGAGATCATGACCTAAGCGAAAGTCGGACGCTTAACCGACTAAGCCACCCAGGCGCCCCTCCTTTGTGAATTTTTTAAAAAGCTTTTTTTTTGGTCTTAACAGCATTGATGAGTTAAGATATAGATATTTTATTTTATTTTATTTAAATGTTTTCTTTATTTCTAGGAGAGAGAGAGAGAGACAGCGTGAGAAGGGGAGGGTCAGAGAGAGAGGGAGTCACAGACTGAAACAGGCCCCACGCTCTGAGCTGGCAGTCAGCACAGAGCCCGACGCAGGGCTCGAACCCACGAACCGTGAGATCATGACCTAAGCGAAAGTCGGACGCTTAACCGACTAAGCCACCCAGGCGCCCCAAGATATAGATATTTTAAATAAATATGATGATAATGACAGTCTTTTATGATGGACTGTTTTAAGAAAAGATTAATTTTCTTTAAATTTTTTAAATAAAAATTTCTTTCTTAAATTGAAAAAAACTAAACTCACATTGTATACCTGTGAGGTAATAGAAAACATAAATATTGGTCTCTGTCCCCAATTCCTGGCACAGAACTTCTAACACACTTATAAAGTTCCTAAATAAGAAGAGTGCTAGGAGCCGTGTTTGTTCTAATGTTGGGTCATTCACCCCGGTTCCTGCCACAGACTGCCTGAGTCCTTGGGGATTCCCTGTGGGATGGCAGTGTCTTGTTCTAGTGAGACGCCAGTTGTAGCTGGTCACCAGAAAGACCAAGCCAAGGTTGGAAGCTTGGAATTTTCAGTCCTGTTCCCTGTTCTCCAGAGGGGAAAGTTGGTAACTGATCACGCCTACTTCATAAAACTCGGATGCTTAACCGACTGAGCCACCCAGGCGCCCCTTCCCCAACTTTTTAGTATGAAAAATTTCATATAGGAAAAGTGAACAAACTATACAGCAAATACCTATATACATACCACCTAGAATATACAGTTAACTTTTTGACATATTTGCTTTATCAGATACTTATCCGTCTATCCATTCTCTTATCAGTCCGTCGTCATACAAATACATTTCAGAAAGCTGTGGGTATCACTATACTTCACCCCCACAACTTAAGAATTCATCTACAGTGCTTATAAATAGAATGTTTTTAGCATGGTTATTTGAAATTCCAAATGTGATCATTTGGAAGAGATAATTGTTAGAAAATGAAATTCTTTCATTTTACTTTATTTTCCATATTTCCCAGGGCAGATGAGAAAGGGAGAAAAGCAGCTTGAATCTGTATAATTCTTTGTAGTTTACAAAGAATTTTCATGTCTATAATCTACTTTGAACAGATAGTAGTAGTAACTAACAGTTATCAGGAGAGGTACTGTGCTAAAAGTTTATCTTTAACAAAGATGTTATGCTAAGTTCTGTTCATCCCGCTGACACTTGGTTGTCACATTTATTTTTCAAATGGATTGATTTGTTCACTTAAACATTTTTTTAGCCCCATAGCGTGCCTTTTAAGTCACCTTTGTCAGCTGCTACTGTGTTTAGACTGAAATCTTTGGTGTGTGGGTTCCTGGGGACAAAAATAGTTTCCTAGGTGCTATATCTTAATAGTTTATTCCAAATAATATTTAAGCACAACTTAGGAAGAGTTACTGAAAATGTTCCTGTGTTCTTTGATTGTCTCCTATAAATTAGCCTTTAGTATCCAAAATGTTGCATGACTTTAAAGGCAAAATGGGTTATATGAGAATAGGCATCTAATAGTTGTTTGGGGGGATGTTATTAATTATTAATATCCTATGAATAATTGTGTTATAGAATTTTTATTTTTATTATGTGCCAGATACTGTTATATATATTCATTATATATATTTAATTCATGTAACAATCATATAAGGACTGACGAAACTGAGGCACAGAGGGGTTAACTGGCTTGTCTTGGGTCATATGGTGAGTACATGGAAGAGTCAGGATATGAATGTTTCAGCCCTCAGTCCCAGCATTTGACCACTGCCCTAGTGTTCTGCGTTGTATGTATGGTCCTCAGACCACCTGCATCATAATTTCCTGGGGTGATTATTAGAAATGCAGATTCCTGAGCCTCATCCTAGACCTGAGTTTGAGCCTATGGATGAAGTGTGTTTTTTAGTCATTCAGTTGATTTTTATGGGCATTGAAAAGTTTGAGGCCCAGCATGCTGTACTCTTCTATGAGCATTATCAGGCTTCAATCCCTATTAACCTAGAAAGAGAGCCAGAATCAATTACTCATTCTTGCCCTTGGAGTACATGACATTTCAGATTCATCTTTATGCTTTCGTCTTTGCTTCAAGGTTGTCATGGACTTTAAGCACCCAGACGGCGTCACAGTGCCGGTTATGTTGCCTCGTCGGAGTTTGCTGGTGATGACTGGAGAATCTAGGTACCTCTGGACACATGGGTATGTATGGAAGTGACCTTGGTGGCAATATACCTCTTGCTTTGTGACAGTTCTCCTCTCTTGCTTGAGCTGCTAGAACCAGGCTCCATGTCTGCACACTGAGGTGTCCCAAGTTTAAATCTCCAGGGATATATGTGCCCCTTTTTTGGTAAATCTTAACCTTTTATTTTGATCCAAGTCAAGTTTAATGGAAAGTTGCAAACATAGTATAAGGAACAGCCCTCACCTTTCACCTAGATTTACCAGTTGTGAACATTTTACCGTATGTTTTATTTCTCTCATACATATTGTCATTATTATTATTATTATTGCTGAGTCATTCGAGAACAAGTTGGAGACATCATGATACTTCGCCTTGCCTCACTGCCATTTTCCTTTTTAAAGCGTAAAAAACAAAAGCAACAAAGAATATGTCACAAAAACTGTATATGCCCCTCTGTGCCTCAAATTTTGACTATTTGATCCTGTTACAGAAAATGTTTGCCAACCCCTGTGATAGAAAACTGCTGTGCAACTCAAATTCAGAAAATTCAACACCGATAAAAATACTCTTAGCACAGTCTTCTACAAACCATCTTCATATTTGCTGGTTGTGCTTCATAGTTCAGTCCTGTTGAAAACTGCCAGTAGTTAAAGGAGCAGAACCAGATTTTACTTGAACTCTTTCAGTAGGAGAAGAGGGACCGCAGTACAGGACTGGGCCGGGTTCCAAACACAGGGAAGAGTTGGGATTGATAGCCAAGGAGCTGGTTCTTGTGCCAGTAGATGGAACATTACGAAGAGGAAACATCATTGATGGGGCAGGGGTGTGGGGACTAAATCCACCATAGGATTCTTGCAGATCAGAGGTCACCTGGGGGTGCCAGCTGGGGAGTGAGGAATATGGTTGGTGATTGAGGACGATCAGATATTGGAGGGGGGGTGTTCTGGTTTAACTGACTCAGCAGGAATCTTTCTAATATTGGGCTCTTGAAGGACATGCCCAAGAATGGGGCTGAGTCAGGCTCAGAGAAGCCTGACTGAAGTTTGGTGAAACCGAGGATCTCTGCTAGTGGTTTACAGTGTGCTTCCCCTCTGATCTGGGATCCATCTGTGAGTTCACAGTGCCCTTCCCCTCTGTGACTTCACAGTGCCCTTCCCCTCTGATCTGGGATCCGTCTCTGAGTTCACATTGTCCTTCCCCTCTGATCTGGGACCCCTCTGTGAGTTCACAGTGCCCTTCCCGTCTGATCTGGGATCCGTCTGAGTCTCCAATGCCCTTCCCCTCTGCTCTGGGACCCTGCTTATGACACACTAACTTGTCAGTTCTCTTTAGTCTTTAGTCTTCTTTAATTTGAAACAATTCCTCAACTTCTCTTTGTGTTTCATGATTTTGGCATATTTAAGTGGGCCTGTTGTTTTCTAGAATGTCTCTCACTTTGAGTTTATTTCACTCTAATCTCAAACAAATGGGTTCTATGCACTTTGGATAAGAATGTATCTTTAGTCTTGAGAAGAGAAGCACCACACCATAAAAATTTACTAACATTCTACTTAAAACACTGCTGAGTTCTGTACTTACTAGTAATGTCCTGCTGGGAGATGATGCATTTTTATAAGAATTCAAGGAAAGAACGTATAAATGAATTTGTAACCAGTCTTGAACGTGAACCATGAAAACCAATGGCCTGATTTTATGCAATGAGGCTTAAATTTACCTGATTTTTTTCATGGCCATCTAAAATATTTTCCCTTACAGTAAATGAAAAATGTGAGGCAACCCAATGGTTTCAGATATTCCTAGAATTTTGAGAATATTCACATTTTCTTTAAGTTTAAGCATTTGTACTACTGGCAACATTTAAACTTAAGAGTAATGATATTTTGGCAAATACAAAATGAAAAATGGCTTTTGATAGACCTGTGTTATAAACATATTTTAATCTATTCTGGGTGGTGGTACAGATTAATTCTCCTAAACATCATTTTGATCACATTATTTTCTCATTCGAAGTATATTATTCTGTTCAATGTTAAGAGGAATTATCTCTGGAAAACTGAACTGCAGACAATATTTATTTTTAAACCTTTCTCTAGAATCAAAACTTTTCAATAATTTCAGAGAAAAAAAACCCTTAAGTATTATTTTTAATGACTACTGTCGATATTCATAATGTGACTATGTATGTGTGTGTGTGTATTGGGAAGAGAAAGAGAAAGGGAATGGGTAGGTTAGGGAGGGAGGGGCTACAGGTAGAGACAGGAATAGAGAGAGACTGACCAAACACTGATACACCAGCCGTGGAGGCATTCATCAGAATCTCTGGGTGCACTGGAGAAGAGATGGAAAAAGCACATATAATACACTTAAAAATTTGCAAAAACCACAGGAAATACACCTTAACAATGATCTCTGTGCTGAAAGCAAAGCGGTAGAAAGCACTGCTGAGGGGTATGCATTGAAGGAGGGTGACTTGAGGTGTCTGGCTGGCTCAGTAGAGCACGTGACTCCTGATCTTGGGGTTGTGAGTTTGAGCCCCATGTGGGGGGTAGAGTTTACTTTAAACAAAAAAAAGTTAATTAACTCTGCCCTATAATGTTAATTACAAACTCTTAATTTGATCCAGTTCAGATTTCCTATTCTATTCGTCATGCCCTGAATCAGAGAAGGCAGAAGGGCAGCACGTGGGTCAGATATGGTGGTCAGACCTGTTCTCTTTGGCTGGGGCAGTGGTGGTCTGTGCGGTAGAACATTAAACAATTGCATGCATATAAAAATCAGGAGCTTTCACATAAAAATCTACGTCTTCAGCATCTTTTGAAAATTGGGAAGTGAGACAACATTGGGCCCTAGTAATCCTTGGCCGCAGTATGAGGAACAGCCACTGGCCTTCTGTAGATGAAGCCCCAAGTTCATCTAAAGGCGGACGTTCTCAAGTTCTCCGTGGTTCCCGCCACGTTCTGTGGTTCCCCACACTGAGGCTGAGCATCAGCTGTCACTTACCGCTGTGCTAGTGCTGTCATGTTTATCTTGTGACAGAGTCACCTGGAAACTAAATCGATCTTGTCTGTGTTACAAACAGGGAATGGAAAGCTGCAGTGGGTGAAGAGAACACTGTGTTGTTTGGAAATGAAACTATTCCAATGTGTTTAACGGCAAATGACACATTTCTAAGTAACCCCACTGCTTCTCTCCTGGAGAGTATTTGACTACCTTAGAAGGCGCTTATTTATAAGTTTATTTGACTCTCCTTTTAAATTCCTTTTGGAACATTTTCTTTGTGCTGGCCCTTGTGCTTAGAGTCTCACACAATCCGCTCACTTATACAGTCAAAGTGGAAAGTTCATTCCGTGCTTTATCCCCATTTTTAAAGCAGCTTGGAGCATAAAGAGGTTATGGACCTTGTGTAAAGCCATAGAACCATTATGTGGCAGAGTCAAAATGAGAAGCCAGGCGGTCTGGCCTCAGGATCTATGCCCTTAGCCATGGCCGTACAGCTGGACTCGAGTGCTCTCTTTCCCCCAAATTTATATGGTGTCCCCTGTGCCCTCTAGGCTTTCCACCTGCACCAGCCCCTCAGTGCAGTAAGCTTCCTTTTCCTATGTTTGATATTTAATCGTCTTGATTGATGCAGGAATTGTATTAGACAGAATTCAGTATCCATTCATGATAAAAACTTGGCAAACTAGGACAAGAAGAAAGCATCTTTAGTTGGATAAAGGGTATCTGTGAGAAACCCACAGCTAACATTGTATTGAAAGGTGAAATATTGAATGCTTTTTCCTAAGATCCTGAACAAGGCAGGGATGTCTGCTCTTACTACCTCTATTTAATATTATAGTGGGTGTTTTACATAGTATAATAAGTTGAGAAAATGAAATAAAAATCATTGAGATTTGAAAGGAAGAAGTAAAACTCTTTATGATGTGGATGTAGAAAATCCTAGGAAATCTACCAAACAAATGCTAGAACTAAACTGAATATAGCATAGTTGTAGCATACTAGGTTAAGATTCAAAAATTAACTTTTGGAAAATGAAATAAAATACTTAAACAATTTTTAAAAATATTTATTTTTGAGAGAGAGAGAAGAGAGAGCTGGGGAGGGGCACAGAGAGAGAGGGAGACACAGAATCTGAGGCAGGCTCCAGGCTCTGAGCTGTCAGCACAGAGCCTGACGTGGGGCTTGAGCTCATGAACCACGAGATCATGATCTGAGCTGAAGTCAGATGCTTAACCAACTGAGCCACGCAGGCACCCCTGAAATAAAATACTTTTTAAAATAGCATCAAGACCTGTAAAATACTTCTTTTTAGTACCCAAATTAATTAATTATGATGTGGTTTAAAAAGATATCAGTCTGAGAATTCTGATTCTTTTTTAAATTGAGATATAGTGGCGCCTGGGTGGCTTAGTCGGTTAAGCGTCCGACTTTCACTTAGGTCATGATCTCGCGGTTCGTGGGTTCGAGCCCCGCGTCAGGCTCTGTGCTGACTGCCAGCTCAGAGCCTGGAGCCTGTTTCAGTCTGTGACTCCCTCTCTCTCTGACCCTCCCTCGTTCACGCTGTGTCTTTCTCTCTCTCTCTCTCTCCTAGAAATAAATAAAACATTAAAAATAAATAAATAAATTGAGATATAAACAAAATTATTAAATTCACATATAAATTATGTTTCAAGTGTACAACATAATGATTCTTTATATATATATGTTGTGAAATGATCACATTAAGTCTAGTTAACATCCATTACCACATGTAGTTACAGGCTTTTTTCTTGGGATGAGAACTTTTAAGATTTGCTGTTAGCAACTTTCAAACATGGAGTTCAGTGTTGTTAACTGTAGTCACCAGGTACACTGCCTCCCCAAGATTTATTTATATAACTGGAAATTTGTATCTTTGACTACTTTCACCCATCTTACACAGCTCTTCCTACCCTCACCGACCCCCAGTAGACCCACAACCACCAATCTGTTCAGCATACCTGTAAGGTTTTTAAAAAATGTTTGTTTATTTATTGTGAGAAAGACACGAGCAGGGGAGGAGCAGAGATAGAGGGAAAGAGAGAATTCCCAAGTAGGCTCCACACCATCAGTGCAGAGCCCGATGCGGGGCTTGATCTCACAGTCCAGTGAGATCATGACCTGAGCCAAAATCAAGAGTAAGATGCTTAACCAACTGAGCCACCCAGGTGCCCCAAGTTTGATTTGTTTCTGTTTTTGATTTACATTCCATATATACGTGAGATCATATGGGATTTGTTTTTCTCTGCCAGACTTATTTCACTTAGCATAATACTCTCAGGGTCCATTTACATTGTTGCAAATGGAAAGATTTCTTTCTTTTTTATTTCGTAAAAAAAATTTTTTTTAACATTTATTTATTTTTGAGAGACAGAGAGGGACAGAGCATGAGTCAGGGAGGAGCAGAGGGAGAGGGAAACAGAGAGTCCAAAGCAGACTCCAGGCTCTGAACTGACAACCCTGACTTGGGGCCCAAACCCACAAACCGTGAGATCGTGACCTGAGCAACGAAGTCGGATGTTTAACCAACTGAGCCATCCAGGCGCCCCCCTTTCTTTTTTATGACTGAATAATATTTCATTACCCTTCCCTCTCCCCGACACGCACACCCATCACATTCTCTTCATTCATTCATGGATGGGCACTTAGGTTGTTTCCAAGTCTTGGCTGTTGTAAGTAATGGTGCAGTGACCTTGGAGTGCAGATATCTTTTCAAGTTAGTGTTTTTGTGTCCTTTGGATAAAAATCCAGAAGTGAAGTTGCTGGATCATATGGTAGTTCTCCTTTTAAATTTTTGAGTATCTCCTTACTGTTTTCTGCAGTGACTGCACCAGGTTACATTCCCACCAACAGTGCACATGGGTTCCCTTCTCTCGACACACTAGCCAACACTTGTAATTTCTTAGCTTTTTAGTAATAGCCAGTCTAACAGGTGTGGGTAGTATCTCGTTGTGGTCTTGATTTATATTCCCCTGGTGATGAGTGATACTGAATACATTTTCATGTACCTATTGGCCGTCTCTGTGTCTTCTTTGGAAAATGTCTCTTCAGTTCCTCTGCCCATTTTTAAATGCCCTGGTTTTTACTGTTGAGTTGTATGAGTGGTTTATATATTTTAGATATTAGTCCCTTACCAGATACATAATTTAAAATATTTTTTCTCATCCTGTAGCTGGCCATTTCATTTAGTGGATGGTTTCCTTCACTGTGCAGAAGGTTTTCAGTTTGATGTAGTCCCAGTTGTTTATTTGTGCTTTTTGTTGCCTTTTGAGAGTTCTGATTCTAATAAAGAATTGAAGAACGAGTATAACAGTGACAAAACGAAAACAGAACTGAAATACATTATTTTCACGTTAGGGTCAAATCCATTGTAATGATATAGTTGAACTTTCTCTATTTTAGATGTATAGAAAAAACGTATCTGGCTCTTAATAAAGAGAAATCAACATCTTAAGTATAAAATTATGCTCTTGTATAATTTGCTCAGACCTTTGAGGCGTAGCACATTCTCTCTGAATGTAAAACCCACCTCTATAGGGAGATAGACTTGCTAGGGTAACTCAATCAGAAAACTTGGCCTCAGATTTAAATCTTGGGGCATCTGGGGCTCAGTTGGTTAAGTGTCTGACTCTTGATTTTGGCTCAGGTCATGATCTCATGGTTTGTGAGTTTGAGCTTCCCCTTCAGGTTCCACGCTGACAGTGTGGAGTCTACTTGGGATCCTCTCTTTCCCTCTCTCTCTGCCCCTTCCCTGGTTGCTTGCTTTCTTTCTCTCTCTCAAAATAAATAAATGAACATTTTTTAAAAAAAGATTTTTTAAAAAAATGTTTGTTTATTTCAGAGAGAGAAAGAGAAAGAGGGAGGGAGAGAGAGAGAGAACATGAGCAGTGGAGGGGCAGAGAGAGAAGGAGACACAATATCCAAACCAAACTCTAGGCTCTGATGTGGGGCTTGAACCTATGGACTATGAGATCATAACTTGAGCTAAAGTCAGATGCTTACCAACTAAGCCACCCAGGTGCCCCCAAAAGAAGAAGGCTTAAATCTTAGGAATAACTTAACAAAAGATATGCAGCACCTATACACTGAAATCATGAAATACTGCTGAGGGAAATTAATGAAGATCAGAACGAATGAAGAGAGGGGCGCCTGGGTGGCTTGGTCGGTTGGGCGTCCGACTTTCGCTTGGGTCACGATCTCGCGGTTCGTGGGTTCGAGCACCGCGTCGGGCTCTGTGCTGACTGCCAGCTCAGAGCCTGGAGCCTGTTTCAAAGTCTGTGACTCCCTCTCTCTCTGACCCTCCCCTGCTCATGCTGTCTCTCTCTCTCTCTCCTAGAAATAAATAAAAACATTAAAAACATTTAAAAAAAAGAATGAATGAAGAGATAGAGATGCCATGATCATGGATAGAAACCTAATATTGTTAAGATATCAGTTGTCCCGAGTTGATCTAATATTTCAGTATAATTCTAATTAAAATCTTTAGACTTTTTTATAGAAATTGGTGAGCAGATTCTAAAATTTATAAGGAAATGTGAGGGATCTAGAATAATCAAAACAATCTTGAAACAGAAGAACAGTGTTGGAGGATTTATTTTACCTGATTTTTAAAATTTACTAAAGCTACATAATCAAAAGAGTATAGTGTTGGTGTATAGACAGGTAGACCATTGGGTCAGAATACATCTGTCGTATGTAAGATCAGTCGATTTTTGACAAAGACACCAGTGTAATTCAGTGTGGAAAGGAAATTTTTAAACAGATGGTGCTGAGACCATTGGATGGCCTTGTATAAATAAAATGAACCATTATCTGCCTCACACAATTTACAAAAAGTAATAAGAGGTAGGTCATAGATTTAAATGTAAAAACAAAAGCTGTAAAACATCTAGAAAAAAATACAAGAGAATATTTTTGCAACTTTGGGGTAGGAAAGTTTTTTTAAAGACAGATTTTAGAACACAGAAAGAAGACAGATGAACTGCATCAACATTAAAAACTTTTGCTCATCAAAAAATGTCATTAAAAAAAGTCAATAGGCATGCTACACATGGGGAGAAAATATCCAGAATACATATATCCAATAAAGGCTTGGGCTTAAGATTTGAACAGATCCTTCACAAATATATAAACATATATATTTATATATTCATATATATATATATGTCAATGAATGGCTAATGAGCACATGAAAAGATATACAACATCATTAGTCATCAGAGAACTACAAATTAAAACCACAATTTCATACGCTTTTCACTCACTAAAATGGCTAAAATAAAACTTAGATAATAGTGAGTACTGGTGAGAATGTGAGGCAGCCTGCAACTTCCATTATCTGTTGTTTTTTGATGTTGTCATTGACCCTCAACTAGATTTCACTTTACTAAGAAAGATGTATTCAAAGCTACAATGAGAATTATGTATTTGTCTATTTCTCCTGTGATTTTTTTGTTCACTTTTTGCTTTATGTATTTTGAGGCTGTGTCATTACTTAGGCATACAAATAAATACAGTTTTTATGTATTTCTGTTGGATTGACACTTGTTATTATGAAATGTCCTTTTTTATCTCTCTTATTCCTTTGAAGTCAAGTTTGATTAGTTTAGCTATACCTCTTTCCTTTTGGTTGTGCTTAGAATATGCAAAATACTCTTTTTGGTTTATCATGTTTTAGTATATCATATTGTTTTTCAATCTTTGTTTTCAACCACTCTCTGTCCTTATTTTAAGGTATGCACCTCTTATAACTAGCATATAATTGGATTTTATTTTTTTAATCCAATTTGACAATCTTTGTTTAATTGAATGTATTAGTCCTTTTACATTTGACATAATTATTGATTGGATTTAATTTTTTTTTACTGTTTGTTTCCTCTTTGCTCCTTCTGTTCCTTATTTTTTTTTCTCTCTCAGAATTGGTATTAATTAAATATTTGTTATTCTGTTTGTATCTCTTGAATAATTTGTTAGTTGTGCATTCTTTTAATATGATTACCCTGAGGATAACTTTTTAAGATAGAGACTTCTATTTCTTTGTTTTCTCTACAATGCTTAACAATTCAGGGAATCCAGTAGGTATTTGAAATAAATTCTTCTAGATTTGTTATGTTCCCTTAATATTTTTGAGAGGACCTGAAATATTTTTATTAATGTGGTATTAAATAAATTATTTTGACTGTTGTTTTTAGAATCACACCCAGAAAATTTGATACTGTTCAAGCATCCAAGGGTCACAAAAGTGGAATTATCACCAGTGATGTTGGAGACTTAACTTTAAGCAAGAGGGGAATAAGGACATCATTTACATTTAGGAAAGTGAGGCAAACACCTTGTAATTGTAGTAAGTATATAATTTTGGTTCCACTGTACAATGGAGTAAATCAAGTGTAAAGATATTTTAAAATCCCATTATAACTAAGGAGAGCTTGGTCTTAACTTCACTAATGGTATTTCCCATATTTTGCCTAGTGTTGTACTTAGGTAGATTTTTCTTCACCCACCCCCTTTAGAGCTTATATTCCTTGAAGGCAGGGACTGCATTTTATTCATCTTTATTTTTCCTAAATATAGGAAATAATTGAGCATAGTTGGATGCCGAATAAGTATTTTATTTATTGAAGTCACAGTTGTAGGACATTAAAATATCACTTGTACAGAAATAGGTTTTATTGGAAACAGTTTGTGTTGTTTCTAAATTACTTCTCATTAACCCACTGAGGAAGTTAGAGGTGACAGATTGTTCCTTAGTAAGTAGGTAGCTCTAGAGGGATAAACAGTGGTTTGTGTTTTGGTCAGTTTGGAAATCGCGAAGGGAATAAAAGAAGTGCTCAAAAATGTTAGCAGGATGTTGTTTCTACTTCTCTGTACAAGTACATCATGCCCTGTGTTTCTTAGACTCAAAGAATAAAAAATCCCTTTCATTTTGTAAATAGTATCTGTTAGAAAACTCGAAATTGCTGTATTTGATATCTTGGTGTTAGTGAAGCTTAAAACAGATTTTTCTTTCTTTTGCTAAAAGTGTCATTGCTACCTTAAACCATCAAGTTTTTTATCAATTAAAAAAAAAAGCCTATTTAGTATTTGTTGAGTGTCTAAACTGCCAGTAGTTTCACAAGATCCTGAAAAATAAAGCATGGCTCATGTTCTCCAGGATCCTGAAGTCTAGTTGCAGAGACAGGCCGGTTTTCTTATGCGAATGTTTCTTCGTTGTGGACATTAATTAAATGTAAACCGTATTATAGAAGCTCTGACTGTATTTTCAGCTTACTGATGTTTTTCATGTTCAAGGCCATCTTTTGGATATTTTCTGTCAAAATGTGTGGGTTTTTAAAGATAAAGGTTGCTCCTTGCTTTAGCTAATTTAAGATATTTATAATTTCCAAGAGAATAAAATTTTCCTAAGATCATTTTGGGATAATTGTAATGTATATTGTAGTGTGATTCTGATGTGACCAAGATAAGGTAACCTGTCTGTTTTCTCACGGACGTTTTAGAGCCTCAGGCTTTCTGGGGCTGCCCTTTTTCTGAAACATCCGCATAACATGTTGAGAGCTCCCCTTCACACGTCCACATAGATGAGCCGTCTCCTGCCCGGTGGTCCAGGTTCAGCACCCACTAACTATAGTCAGAGAGAATTCCTGAAGCCCAATTCTTAGCCCCTCACAATTTCTGATAATTTCCTTGGTCCTGACTGGTTTCTCTGGGGACACTGCTCCTTTCTCCGTTATTCTCCAGAATAAAACGGTGCGTGTCATGGACTTCGGCTGAAGATAAAGGGAAATTCTAGGATAGCAGAGAATAGGCAAAGATTTAAAATGAGTATTAGACATGATTGCAGAGAACAGGGGACAACTTCAGAATTGGGTTTAGAATTAGAATACCCACGTACCCTAAATTTCCTTCATCATCTTGACTTGATGGCGTTCTCCTTGGAGTCTGCTGATTCTGCTGAAGGAGGCGGCCCTGTAGTCACTGAGATGTGGGCTCTGGCGTTCCCGCTGGCTGGGTGCAGTCCCGGCTGTGTGACTTGCCATCTTTGTCACTTGAGGATTGTTATTTGCTGTTCTCTGCTGCAGTTTCCTCCTCTGTGAAGTGGATGAACTGAGAACACACGTATAAACGGCTTCAAATAGTGCTCGTTAAATGCCTGTCATCATTACCGAACGACGCACTTTGCTGCTAGGCCTTGTTTTTCTGAGAGTCCGAGGGCCCCAGACCCTGTCTGCTTCACCCACCAAGAGAAAAACCCTACATCGCGTTAGTTCAGCTAATTTCCCCTGGCTGGGCCAGGCCCATCAGGATGCTTTCCTGAGTGAGAGGACCCTTAATCCCGATGGGAAATAGGCACCGGCATTATAAGGCCTGCAGGCTTGCAGTCATTTCCGTCGCACACGGATTTTTCCCTTCTGTGTATGCTAGACCCTCGCACATAAAACTGGACTTGTTAGGTGCTAGCTGTTTTTAAGCTGATAAATCAGAGCCTGCTTAGCCCTCGTCACCAAATTTGGATGGATTTACTTGTTCTTATAAGAAAACGTGATACCTTATGAATCACTTGTATAAAAATGAAAGGTTTTTATTGATTTAATTTTTCATTAGGTTACCCTCTGGTCTGTGACAGCCAGATGAAGGAGACCCCCCCATCGTTTCCGGAGAGCGACAGGGAAGCCTCACAACTGGAGCAAGAATACGTCCACCGAGTCTATGAAGAGATTGCCGGGCACTTCAGCAGCACGAGACATACCCCTTGGCCACACGTGGTGGAGTTTTTGAAAGCTTTGCCAAGTGGTTCATTAGTGGCTGATGTTGGCTGTGGAAATGGAAAGTATCTTGGCATCAATAAGGAGTTATATATGGCAAGTAATTGTTGCTTTGGGCTCTCTTTTTGCTTTATTTGTAAGGGTTCTTTTTTTTTTTTTTTTCCTACAAATAGTTTATTGTCAAATTAGTTTCCACATAA